TATCTTGCCTTTGGTTCCCCTCCATTTCCACTTCGATGATGGGTTCAACTTCCACTTCTTCAACTACTTCTCCACTAACACCGGGACCCAAACGTTGTCCCCCTCTTTCACTTCTTCTCCTTGCCTCCGCTAGCTCTCTCTCCCGTGCTAGGAACCGGAGAGTTCGGTTTATGTCCTCGTCAAGTGGTAGCAAAGGTGTCGGGTTGCTCCGGGTCATGCAACACCTACACACAGTCAGAAAACACACCAAATCTAGCACAAGCAAAGCACACACACTTGCAAAACTGGAAATTAAAAGCTAGAGTAACAACCAACAACTTTTTCAAGATAACAGGCTGTATTCCCCGGCAACGGCGCCAATAACTTGACTCGCACAAAACTACACCACAAATAAAACCCCAACTACAGCCCAAGTTCTTAAACTCTAGCCGGGTGCAGTATAGGACAAGTATTTAAAGGTTTGCTAATTGAGATAACATAAGGCAAAGGTAAATGGTTTTGGAAACTCTTTTGTGGAATGATCACTCGGGTGTTGCTTCCCCCTAACTACTACCATGATATGTAAATTGGAACGATTGTTTTGGGCACAGTAATTGCGAACCACAGAGGGATGCATATATGGTCGGAGACCACAATCTCAATTGCTAAACCGAGGTGAGCATGAAAGGTTGTGTCAATCGACCCTCTCGGTTTAGACAATTGGTAACTGACTCACTCCCTCACTCAACTCAAAGGTCGGACGGTTTAATCACAATTAACCGATTTGCTTAAGTCAACATTGAGGGTTGCCCTAACTTAACCTAGTTAGGTGGCTTAGAAAGCGGAAGGAAAACCAACTCGGTCGAGTCTCCCTTGGAAGGGGGATTTTCCTCTCTTAGCTATGCTAATTAGATTGCTAGCACCAACATGCACAAACCTAAGGGTGCTAAGCACAATTATGCACAATCCTTAGGTTGCTAAGCACCTAAATGCACAAACCTAAGGATGCTAAGCACAAAACATGCACAACCCCTCGGTTGCTAAGCACAAGCATGCACGATCATGATAAATAATGCCTCAATCATTGAATTGAACAATATCCTATGACAATCATCCAATACACATAATAGAAAACTACATGGTAGAGTTAGGGTTTCACAACACCCAAGTGAAAAGAGGTCTACTCCATGCTAGAAGTGGTGAAAACAAAAGGGAAAGAGGTGGAAACCATCTTGGAGGATGCTCCCAGTCTTCTTGGACCTTGAGTTGAGCTTTCCTAGGAGGAAATCTTCCCAAAATCTACCTTGAAGCTAAACCTAGCCTTTTTCTCCCTTTGGTTCGTGTGTCTAACTCTAGAATGTTGAAGAAGGCTTTCACACAAAATGGGCTCTCCTCCATCTCCTCCTTTCAGCTCATCATTTAAACCAGAGACGAGCTGAGTTCACGGCCTGAGTTCATGGCCGTGAACAACGAAATGCGTCCATGAACTTCAGGCGTGCTCCAAAACGCGTCGCATCGTTCACTTCTGTTCACGGTCAACTGCCTTTGTTCACGGACTTAGAGATCGTGAACTCACCATGCGTCAGTAACCTTCGATTTGGCTCCTAACGCCTCGCGATTCACGGTCAAGGGCTCTTCTTCACGGTCTTGCATGGCCGTGAACTTCCTGGGAAAGCCACGAACTGACCCTTTTTCACCTCTTCTCCCGGTTTTTTATCCTTTTCGCCCAAATTTTGACTGTGAGGCTGGTTTCACCTGTTGAATCCTAAAACACACTAAAACACGAGGAACCAAGCGTAAAACCAAAATTTTAGGAGTTAAATTTGCACAAACACCTAAGTAAAACAGGGGCAAAACATGTACAATTAGGCCAGAATCAGCAGGAATCAAGCTCACGACAGATCTTGGTCGCTATCTTGAAATTAATGTTATCAATGGGAGGATTACGAAAGCTCGATACAATGAACTCCTTAAAATCAAAAAGAAGTTGGTTGGGTGGAAAACAAGACACCTATTTATGGGGCTAGAGTAACCTTGGTAAAGGTGGTCACTTCAAATATAGCAATTTACCCTATGTTTCTAAACTTCTTCCTATTGGAGTTTGCAAATCTAAACTCCAGTTGGTGGCATGGAACCAACTAACTCAACCTCTTCAGCTTGGTGGCCTTGGTATTCGACCCACTAGAAGGACTAACCAAGCGATGTCGGCGAAAGGAGCTTGGAACCTCGCTACGGATAACCACAATTTATGGACAAGTGAGCTAAGAAGCAAGTAAGGGAGAGGCGGGAAGGGACTGCAACTACTGACACTGTCAAAGGGAAGTTCCAAGGCTTGGAAGAGCTTTGCTCAAATAATCAATTCCTTCGCAAAGGAGCTGCCAAAAATGTTAAGAATGGAAAGAAAACTAACTTTTGGCCGGATGTGTGGGTTTTGCAAGAACCTCTAATTACTAAAGCTTTGATGGATATTTCGGAGGAGATGCAAGAAAGAACAGTAGCAGAATTTTCAGTTCCAAAAAATAAACAAATTCGAACCATTAACTAGTGGCCAAGAATTGTTCGTGATGGTCAGCAGCAAGGAAGTCACAACTCGGCCCACTGGAACAAGCTGGCATCTGATGGTCCCGGAACGAGTTTGACTCTTTATGTGGACAGTGTCAAAGGGAAGACTAACAACCAATGATATTAGGAAATCCAGACACCTCACCTCGGATGATAAATGTGCTCTCTGTGATGCAGACATCGAATCAAATAGCCACTGGCTGCGAGACTGTAGCAAGATAAGGGGAGTGTGGGAAAAAGTTGTCGCTTTTCTCAGCATCAACAATTCTTCTCAGCAACCCACGAAGATTGGATGAAGAAGAATTTGGAGAGCAGCGAGACCGTGGAAGAGGCAGGGGATTGGGCTAGTTTCTTTGCTCTCACTTGCTGGTACATCTGGAAACATAGGAATGATTACATCTTCAAGTGAGTCAGACTATCCAGCTCCACTCTCATCAATTACATTCTCTCAAAGGCCAAAGATTGGATGAGAACGTGGATGAAAGCAACAGCCACCAAAGACTCGATGACCAAACCGATGAGAGAAGAACGGCTAATTGGTTGGATTCCGCCTCAAGCAGGATGGAGGAAGTTAAACACAGATGGTGCAGCTCAGGGGAACTCTGGAATTATCACTGCAAGAGGAGTCCTTCGGTACAAAGATGGAGATTGGATCACTGGATTCGTCTGCAAAATAGGAACCGGATCGGCTATTCTATCGGAGCTTTGGGTATCCAACAAAATAGGAACTGGATTCGAAAAAGGGTATGCAATTACTTATACTCGAAACAGGTTCCCATCTAACAATAGAACTCCTCAACAAAAGAACTGACTTGGTGCACCCTCACACCACTCTTGTGAATTCAATTAGACGAATGTTGGCGCAAAGTTGAGTTGTGCGTCTAGTTCATACGTATCGCGAAGGGAATAGAGCCTTGGACTGGTTCTCAAAGCACAGTCTCGTCTATTCTTTCGGTACTTATGAGCTAGATGAACTCTCGACTGATTTGAAAAGAATCCTCCGTGATGATGTGAGGGGAATTAGTTTCCCACGACAAGTTGTTATGGACAACACTGAAGGCAACTGGAGTTAAGTTTGCTCTTAAGGTATGCGTTCTGTTTAGTTTGTAAGAGGTTTCAGGGTGTGATGGTTCTCAATTTTCCTCTGCTAGGCGGGAAGGGGACCTGCCCCTATTGGTGTAATCGATCTTTTGGCTTATTGTCTCCTTCTAATAAAAAAAACTACAAACAAGGACCTTAAAAGAAGTATAAACTATGGCATGAATTAATGGATATAACTTGGAGATTTCTATGGCCTTAAAAGAAGTATATGGCATGGAACTGGGCCAATTACCTTTTTAAATCCGATTTTTGAAATAAAAAAAAATGTTAAGTGCTTTTTTCACATAAAAGCATAATTTGAAGTTTTTAAAAACACTATTTTAAAAAGACAAAATTACTCTTATAACTTTTCAGTATTCTTTGACTATTATTAATATTTTATATCAATAATTACTTTTAATATTTCATATTATCTCTTATATTAAAAAATACCTCTAGTAGTTTATCATTTAAATACTCGAACTGTTTTTTAATACTTCTTTGAGCAAAAACATAATTTTGGAGGAACTTAACCACCTATATCTGGCGCCTGGGATGAAAACGGGTCGGAGGTGGATAGTGCATATATGTTACCCTATTTAAAGTAGTTCGTATTTTATCCATACCCATATCTACATAAAAATCGGGTAAAAAATCAGAATCACGCCTATACACGTTCGGGTTTCGGGTATTCACGGTTATCCATGGATAATAATTTCTCTTTCTAACTTCAACCATTATGTTAACATTCCAACGTATACTCAGATTACATAAGAGAAAAAGTTTGACAATAAATCAATAGATGAAGAAAATTAATTAAAGTAACACAATTTCATGAAAAATATTATATTTGTATGCTAAATATAAAATATATTAGAGAAAATAATGATCATTTTTAAACAAAATACATATGTATGTGTATAATCGGACGGATTCAGGTTGTATAATTAGAATACCATGCCCACCAATTATCCGTAATATTCGGATTTGGGTTTTACCCGTACCTACTAAAAATCCCTCGAGTTTAAATTTTACCCTACCCAATTATGTCGGATTTAGGCGTATATGTACCATTATGGATATTTTTGCAATCCTACAGTCGTCACTGATTTAAGAAAACCCTAATTCCTCTTTGCAAAATTTTGTTTTCAATCTCTTTCATTTGATCATTTTTTAGCCATGATTTAGAACAGTGAGATAACCATGCATTAATGGGGAAACCCCAGATCCGCTGCAACTGGCAACTGGCAAGCTTGACGTTTGCACTACTCTGTGCGCTTCCCATCAAAAACTTCCCTTTCGTCTTTCCCCAATGGAAATGTCCACTGCCATCATTTTAAGAGGCAAACGACATCGTTTAATCCGCCATAGCCACTTCTCCGAAGCTTCTCCTCTTCCAGTTTACTAATGGGGTTATATACTAAATTACTAATCGAACCGACCCCTGTTTTTTACGGGTGAGGCTTTATCGTTGTTCGTCTCCTCCGAAATTCTCCCTTGTCCGCATTTACTCTTTTTCTTCTTCGACGCAGTAATCTCAGCTCTATCAGCCAATCAACTCCCCCAAAATCAATCCTTCATTCCCTCCCTCCATTTATTCCCGGTCGCTGATTCGACTCTTCTTCCCCTGTTTTCCCCCGATTCGGAATCTTGTTCTCGGATACCACCCAAATCACCTACCCGCTCCGCTGGAAATTTATCTGTGAATCCCATCCTGGAGACCGATTGGAGCATTTCTGAATCTGGGTTCTGGTCGATGAAGCTGCTGCCCAGTTCCATTTCAATTCCTCGTCAGACTCTGTTGGTAACCTTACTCTTTTCGTGTCCTCGTTCGACACTGTCTGGGTAATTAGTCTACTACTGGTTCTTCTTTTCGAACTTCTCTTTCAAGGGTATTGCTTCATTTCCCGGGAAAGGAAAAGGGTAAGTGAGAATCCCGCCAGGTGGGGGGAAAAAAAGATGTCTGCGATTCGACCTGATCCAACGAAACAGCTCGCCACGAGCAGCGTGGTTGTGGGCTACGCTCTCTGTTCCAGCTTGCTCGCCGTGATTAACAAGTTCGCCATCACTAAATTCAACTACCCAGGGCTTCTGACAGCTCTGCAGTACTTGACCTCGGCGCTTGGCGTCTGGGTTATGGGCAAATTAGGGTTCTTGTATCACGACGCCTTCAATTTGGAAACTGCAAAGAAGTTCCTCCCAGCTGCATTTGTTTTCTACCTCGCAATCTTCACCAATACCAATCTGCTACGCCATGCCAATGTCGACACTTTCATTGTGTTCAGATCTTTAACCCCACTTCTTGTTGCTATAGCCGACACTTTGTTCAGGAAACAGCCGATCCCATCTAGGCTCACTTTCTTGTCCCTGTTCATCATTTTAGGAGGTGCTGTGGGTTATGTGGCTACTGATTCGGCTTTTACCCTCACTGCATATTCATGGGCACTTGCTTATTTGGTGACAATCGTATCTGAAATGGTTTACATCAAGCACATCGTGTCGAACATTGGATTGAACACTTGGGGTCTGGTGTTGTACAACAATCTGCTGTCCTTGCTCATATCGCCTGTGTTTTGGGTTCTCACTGGGGAGTACAGAGAAGTGTTTGGTGCTCTCGGTTCAAATGGTGGGGATTGGTTCAGGATTGATGCTTTCTCTGCAGTGGCATTGTCTTGTGTGTTTGGTGTGCTCATCAGTTTCTTTGGGTTTGCGGCCAGGAAGGCGATCTCTGCTACTGCATTTACTGTGACTGGTGTGGTTAACAAGTTTCTGACTGTTGTGATCAATGTGATGATATGGGATAAGCACGCCACTCCATTTGGATTGCTTTGCCTCCTCTTCACGCTGTGTGGAGGTGTTCTTTACCAGCAGTCTGTTACAAATGCACGTGTCGAGCCTGTTGCTAAACCGAAAGACAATAGGGAGCCGGATGCAGAGAATGTGCTTCTTATCGAGAGAAAAGAGGACGATGCGGATAAGTAGGGAGGAAGGCTTTGTCTGGTAAGACTTGGATGAGAGAACTTGGTAGGTTTTGTATTCCTTGAGCTTGTTTAGAAGTATGATTGTTTGAAGAATCTTATCAGATACACACAACTGGGCAGTAATCAGTTTTTGTTTCTTCAACGTGATTATTTACCGGTGTCAATTGATATTATATCATAGCCTGGGAGGGTGCCTTTTCCTCAGTATATCTTATTTATGCTTCTCAAACTGATCGTGAGAGCAGTGCTATAGACAGAAGTTGAAAGTTGGATTCAAGGCATCTGTAGAAAGGTTACTATCATGTAGCTCAATACGAAATGTTGAATTGCTTCCAAATGTTTCAGTCATGTTAGAGCTTGAACTCGATTACCCTGATTTTTCTGATTATGAAGCCATGTTTGCATTATCTTTGTAAGTTGTTGGAGATAATTAAGAGCCCCCTTATGTTTATCAAGACGCTGATAGTTTTTCATTGCTATGGTAAGAACTTTGTCACCAACCTCGAGAGGTCAAAAGATTGGCACTTTGTACCATTTCATGGTTGCATTTACTGTTTACTACTTTTCATTCTGTTCTTACCTTGCTGCCCAAAAATTTCTTCAGATCATATGCTAGGATTAAGCTCAACATTCAGGGGAATGGAGATCGTATTTCTTTTTAAGCTGCCATTTGGTTAGATTGTGATCTTATCCTGCATCCACTATTGTGCCAGAATTGCAGAACTGGCTGGTTTTTAAGTTTCCATTTCTTCAGTTCCCCTTTCATGTCCTCCACCATCACGTAGATCTGCTCAGACATTTGGTGGGGCGAATCGCTCTTCACAAACTCATGCACAGGAGTCAGGACCATCAATCTCTATCAGACTGCATCCTGGGGGCTTCTTCATCCCTCTTTAGCATCGAACCACCTCTTGATCAACTTGTATATGTTCGACAAAAGTATATAGATCCCACCATTGTCCGGATCAAGCTCCAAAAGTTGCTTTTCTGCTCTTTCTGCGGCCTCCAGTTTCCCATGGACTCTGCAGGCACCAACATACCCCTTAGCACGAAATGACCGGGCGCCATTTGCATGCTCTACACCAGTTCCTCTGCTTCAGCTATTCTGCCAGCTCGCCCAAGTACGTCAACCAAAACTCCGTAGTGTTCAATGGTGAGATGAACTATGTACTTATCAGATATGGAGTTGAAGTATGCGACTCCTTCATCTGCCAATCCACAGCATCTCTACAGTCGGCCAAGACACCAACGAATGTAATGGCGTCTGGTTTTATTCCTTTCTCCTGCATCTGGTGAAAGAACTTCGCCGTAGACAAGTCACCAGCTCTCGCGCAGTCGGTCGACACATTCACCAACGTTGAAAGGTCGGTACTAACTGAACTTTACTCAAATTACATCATTATATCCACCGCAAAACGCTAGCCAATTAGCTACTAGCACTTTTATTCAAAAACCAGTTTATTATTGGAAGAACAACAGCCGCCAGCCACCTTACCAGGCCAGGTAAACTGAATCCATTACAGAGATTATCATTGGATTACAAGATAAAAGACCGAGCTCATGGTCCACCATTACTGCAACAAATTTCAAGGTCAAGCTAGGCGCTTCTCAAGCTGAATCCGCCATCCACCATAAGGTTTACCCCGCTCACGAACTTCGCCTCATCATCCGCAAGAAACAGAGCAGCCTCCGCCAAATCGTTCTCATCCAGAGCCACACCTTTCAGCGCCGCTTTCTCCGAATTCATCTCCTGAACACCCTCTCTGTCCAGTCCGGTGGTCCTCATCCCCGTCGGCGTCGGAACACCTGCCGGAGAAATCGAATTCACCCGAATCCCGTCCCGTCCCAGCTCCACGCACAGATTCTTCATCAGCTCGACCAAAGCGTGCTTCAACGACGTGTAGGCGTGGGCGAAGAAGCCGTGCGTCCCCGTCACCGCGCTCGCCGTGAACAGAATGACCCCTCTCTTCTCCGGCGCCATCACCCTGGCCGCGTGCTTGGCGCAGAAGAACGCGGCACATTCATCTCGAACACCTTACTCATATCCTCGCCGTCCGTGTTCGCAACCCAGATTGGTCTGGACGTCGGCGGTTTCGGGCGAACAGAGCGGCGGTGCTGCCGCCTATGCCGCTTGCTCCGCCAGTGATCAGCACGACCTTGCCTGCTAACCTGCGATTCCTTCCATCAATATAGTAATTGAACTAATTACGGCAAGAAATTGGTATTGAAAGGGGCCGGACATTCTACACCTACCGATTGCATTTGCTGCACGGAATCCATGATCGAGGTATCGATCGAAGCTCTGGTTTTCTCTGTGTATACAACGTTGAATCCGAATCTATTTATGTAATCAGCCAAGGGCCGCAGTCGATCAACATTGCTGGGCAGTGGCGGCGGCGGCTTATTCCGACTGTGATCAAATAATTCAGGGGCGACTGGTTCGTGGCTTTTTACTCTGCAACCGTATTGTTCTTGGTCTCACTCTCGTTCAATTGGTAAGCTGTGACATGACAGACGAGTCGACGCATTGAAGGAGATGCAATCGTCAAAAGAAAGCCATCTTAGTTGAATTTTGCCAAAGTTGAGTTGGAATATGATATGAGGGATGGGATTAGATATGACGCATCTTCCATAAAACAGAAAATGAGGCCCCTGAAACTTTGAGGTGGAAAATGATATGACGCATCTTCCACAAAACAGAAAATGAGGCCCCAACATTTGCAGGTTGCAGCTAGCCCAATTTGTTGTGGGCTGGAGCCCAGTAGGCATGGCTCACAAACTTTTGCCTAATCTAGCCCAATTCATATTTGACGTACTTCTGTGTTGTGGAAAAAGGAGAATGGCAGTATAGTATTAGCTATAGAGGAATTTTACAATGCTATATAGTATTGGTGCTATGGGTTTTTGCCTTTATGGTACAATTTAAAATTGTACATTTATGTTATGGTACAATTTCATATTGTACCTATACTGTTTGTACAAATTCTTTTATGGTACAACTTGAACTTGTACCTTTATGTGATGGTACAACTTCAAGTTGTAAAGTTGTACCATAACATAACGGTACAAATTCTTTTATGGTACAATCTAAACTTATACATTTCATGTTATGGTACAACTTTAAGTTGTACATTAAAGCACCAATACTATATAGCATAGTAGAAATGCTCATTAGCTATAATCGTGTGATCAATTAGTCATGAAAATTTGAGCATTGTTCTTCTTTTCGTCGTAGTTAATCACATGTGTTGTACATTATATACATATATTTATTATGGTATTTAATTTGTAAATTTATGTTAATGTTTTGTTATGGAGTTGAAGTCAACCTCTTGAGCCGATGTCGAAAAGAGTTGGTTAGCTTGTTAGTGAATTAAACTCGAGCTACACTTGAACCAAGATTTTAGCAAACGAGTTGAGGCCAAGTTCGACTCATTTGCGACCCTAACTGTGCTCTAAGCGGCCCAATGTATAGGTACAATTACTCCTCCACCAGACCACCACATAGAGGAGCCAGGGGTGACACACATAGACACAAGAGAAGTAAGCAAGAAGGAACTGCTTGGGAAGAGGGATAGCAAGAAGATCAATGAGGTGAGGGAACATAGGCCAGACAACATTCAACACAATCTTAGATCGATGTGGACATATGTTTCATAAGAGTAAAAAATTGTATTAGTGACAAGGTCCCCCAACACATAGGTGGAGAGCAATCATCACCCCAATCCCTTTTGTGGGTCTCTTGAAAGGAAGATAGAAACTCTTGAGTCTTGGCTCTTGTTAATAGCAAAGGTCATACTTTTTCTCTGCTTTTAAAGGTTCTTAAGATGGAATGCTCACTCTCAATCCAGTTTATCCCATGATTGTGAACTGTTCGTCCTTAATTCCACAAATACAAAACTCTGTGAGCACGTTCTCACAAACATTTTAAACATCGTCATACGATCACCATACCGGAGTTCAGAAACAACAATAAATCTGTCCGGGGAATGTTGTCAATGTGGATAAGCTAGCAGGCAGGGAGCCCTTCTTACTGAAGATTTGCTTAATAAAGTTTAATTTTCGTGGTCTTAATCATTAATGTTTGCAGCCAGTCATGGGAGGACAACAACTCCACCCACATCATTGCAACTTGCCCCTAATACCCTATCCAACTTCCTTAACTTTTTTCTTAATTGGTATCATTATCATTAGGTTAGGTCCTAATAAAAAATACACATATCTAGATTCCCTAAGTACCCTGCATATTCGACCGTCCTACAAATCAAAGAGGCTCAACATACCTTGTCACTAAATCAATTATTATCATTAATATTAGAGTTTATAAAAAATCAAATACATGACCTCGTAATCGTAAGAGGTCTCGATAGTATCAAAAGAACCAATTTGTCCCAATTACTCAATTGATTGGAAGAGATCATAGAAATGTGAATGTTATATCATTCATTCACATAAATCAATCGTTGTATGAATCATAAAGATTCGAGCACAAAGTCAATTCATCCCAACAACTTGAATCATTTGGATTTTTAGATAGAGATTTCCTAATAGCTACAATTTTATGGTCCCAAAGAAATGATGTGGAACATCCCAATCAGCGATAAGGTGAGTCGATCTCAGCCTCTTGCCTTTTGTTGACCTCCGTTAAACGATTACAATTAGCTCTCTGAACTTTCTGGTTCGTCTCATCCACACTTCATCCATCCCCCAGATCACGCGGGGTTGGTGCTTGGCATCGCAAGTTCTCGACGAAGGAAATTACGTCGCGTGGGAACATTCCATTCAAAGCCCGATGATGAACCCACTGATCCTAATCATTCGATTTGTTGGGAGAGATGAAAAAAATGAATATCATACATGTTTCCTCACATAAATCAACTCAATAAAACATAAAAACTCTCCGATCAAAAACTACTAATTTATAAAGAATCGGACTCATCCCAACAACTCGAAACATTTTGTTTTAGATAGCGATTTACTAATAGCTACAAAGAAATGGCGTGGAACATCCCAATCGCAATCCGCTGAGTCGTACGAGCGTCCCTACTCCAATAAATCAAAAACGGGCTGCTTGTGTATGGTCTTTTGTGAGAAGGCAGGCGTGCTCTATTCGTGGCCATTTCTTTCTTCTTTGCAACCATTTTAAAATTGCTACATAATTTTGCACCACATAATTCCCTTAGAATGCCTTTAAATAAAAACAATACTTAAAGCATAATCATTGATGAAGCCAGCCTCAGCCCTGAGCTCACTCTCTTTCTCTCTACCCTACCGGCCACCGTCCCCTCCCTAACTATGACGATCAACTCCCACGCCTACGCCTAAACATACTTTACTAATTTGTCCTTTTCATTAAGAATCTGAGAAATCCAAAACCCATATCATGATATCAATGACCATCCAAAGTGTTCCGAGTTTGATTACAATGCAAGGCATATGAAGATTCTTGTTCATTGCTTGTTTCATATTTTGTTTGTTTCCACATTTTAACCATATTTGGCTTTGGGTTTTGCTCGCACTGTGTCACATTCCCATACTATGTCGAAACTTTTTTTCTTGTGGAGAACATAAGAGTTGGACCAGTACTCCAACATCAGACAAGAACCCTCACCGCAAAGACAATCATGCTTGATTTTTTGTTTGTGCACACAGTTTTTCGGTAAATAATGAATCATATGTGCTCATTTTGTTAGGGTTTCCAAGGTTGCTCTCTTTCTGGACCTAACGAGGCGCATTTTCTACATTAGTCTTTGCCTTGTGATTTACTAAAAGTGTGTCACGTCAACTTTTTCAGGTCAACCCGGGGTGGTAAATTCTTTGAATTAGGCTGACAGGCTCTTTGCAACTTTTTGTTGTTTTATATTTTGGTCCTTTGAGCCATATCAATACAAGTATACAACTAATCATGATCATTTTTTGTTTAATTTCTCATATTTATAGAGAGTTGACTACTTGACTCTGAAGAGTTTATCTATGCAACCCCATCTTTTGATTTCTATTTTGTTTCATAAATTTAGCCTAATACTCGTAATTAATTGTCACACGAGTCTACGACATAATCACTACTACGGTTCTTCACAACTATTTTTTTTTTCTGAGTTAATAATATTTTGCACCCTTTTCGAAGAAAAGTAAAATAAAGGGTTAAAATTGTTGTTTTCCCCTAATAATCAATAATGCGTTAAATTTGTGCTTTGCGTCCATTTTCAATAATAATAATAAAACAAAGAAAACCTCTTAGGAAGATTCAGAAGACATACTTACTCAATTTGACTCTTTTCGCCTACCAATTAGAAGATAAAAGAACGGGCACAAAACCTTCCTCATCCTCTCTATAAATCCCCACGCCACCCAAAACCCACCCAACACGGAAAGACACCCAAATAATGATCATGGAAACAACCGCCGATCACCACACCCGCCGGAGCTTCACCACCTCCTCCCCATCCTCCGCCGTCGGATTCACCCTCCTCCCCTCCGAGCTCATCGAGAAAATCCTCCTCTCCCTCGCCCTCCCCGAACTCGTCCGGGTCAAATACCTCAACCGATCCGTCTCCCGGATCGCCTCCGACCGGGCCTTCCTCCGCGAATTCAACGCCCTCTCCTCCTCCGCCACTTGGCTCTTCCTCTACAAGAAGCGCAGCTGGCACCGCGACGCCGTCCTCCAGGGCTTCACTTCCGGGTCCTCCTCCTGGTTCCGGGTCGAGATCCGCGACCCGATCCGACCCGGCGGCGGGGAGAGCCTCTACTTCCTCACCGCCGCCGGGAACTTCTTCCTCTTCGCCTCCAATTCACGGAAGGAAGTAATCGCCGTCGACCTCGCCGCCCGGACGGCGAGGACGATCCCGCCCAGCCCGCTCGGCCCACGTGGCACGTCGTCGTGGCGCCGGTCCGGCATGAAATTGGTCGTCTCTCGGTCGGACCGGAACAAATTCCGGTTCATGTTCGGGGAGCTCGTCGACTCCCGCCCGGTCCTCTTCCTCTACTCCTCTGAAACCGACACGTGGCGGTCGGTGGAAGCGAGAGAGGCACGTGGCGGAGAATGGTCGGATCATATTTTCCTCAACGTATCCAACGGTCCGGAAGAGAACCTCGTGATGGGCGTCCGGTTAAGTGACGGGTTGGACCCGCAGCCGGTGGTGGTGCGGCCTAGATTCAATGCGGCGGAGGGGGGTGGCCAACAACCTCCATCAGCCGTTGGATTCAGCTGGGGGAACGTGACGATCGATCGGGTACACGTGTACGGCGACGGGTACACGATGGTGGTGAGATCCAAGGGCGGGGATGGAGGGGTACGGGTGTTGGAGAGCATGGAATTGTGGGGGCTGGATGGCGATAACAGAAAATGGAGGTACCTATCGGGAGTTCCGGTGAAAATCATGGAGGTGATCAGGAAGCCGTACAAGGCGATGGTAGGGTGCGTGGAGGGACGGAGGGAGATAGGGAGGATAAATGGGGTACTAATGTGTAATTTCGAGGGGCTGTGGGACGTGGTGTGGGTGGAATATGACGTGGGAAGGAAGGAGTGGAGTTTGGTTCCCGTTCCCGATTGCAAGAT